GTCAGATTTTTCCAATATCTTTAATACCTAAATTATACAATATCATAATACTTTTCCATATATATTTATAATCCGTGATCTGAGATTGTTGTCGCTCAGCCCTAATTTATAAGCGTACTCAAGTACATCTCTGTGTTTCAGGTCAAATGCAGAAGCCTTTTGAAGACGCCTCATTTGCACTGAAGGTTGGAGACATGAGCGGTCCTGTGTTCACCGATTCAGGAGTTCACATCATCTTGAGAACCGGATAACCAGCCTGAATCCCTCTCCATCACGCCCTCATCCCAGATAACACACACACACACACACACACACACACATGCATTACACACACTACCCCAGAATTCCTGATCTTAATCTGTGTCCCTCAACATCCACTCTGGGCTTGTCAAAGCTGCACGTGACCTCCATCCAGTGTTTCTGCAATCATACACGTTACAGATCCCTGCAGATCCTTCATTTACTCAGCATTCCTTAATCCGGCACGGCTAAACGCTCGCATGATCACGGCTGTTGTGATGGACAGTGGGTGACTGTAAACATGACCAATAAAATCGACCATCCCACTAAAGAACACGCTCCTGTTTTATCTCAAAGCATGCCGAGTAGCTCTGGTCTCCCTGGTTGACTGCTTGTGGAAGTGTGTTAGGTGGAATGTGTGGACATTGTCTAGAAGTTAGAGCTACGTTTTGCATAAACAAAAAATTAGAAGTGCATTGATTTGCAAAACATTAATGCTGGATTCTGATTGGCTAATGGTCACTGTAAGGTGTTTGGTTATTGTTAGATAAGGGCACAGCTAAAGTAGTGCCGGCAGGTTTAGAGCACATTACAGCTCCATATCGCTCCGCTGAATGATGAGAGTTATTTCATAACTACAACTAGGGTCGGGCGATGTCGACCAATTTGGCATCATAAGATGTCTAATGTAAAACATCACGATGGACGATTTTAACGGAGGCCAGCTAGTAAATGCTGTGCAGGTAAACCTCACTCCTCTGACCTCTAAAGGTGCTCTAGCGACGGAAGATGGAGGCCATGGTCTGTAGCCTCCTTGGTAGAGCAACTGACTCCCATGCGGAAGGTCGCCGGTTTGATACCAGCTCAGAGCGGGTAGGGTGGTGTAGGACAGGCGGAGTTACACGATGGCATCGTCGTCATGGGTAGCAGTGAATTAATTATTTATAAATAATTAATTTATCATTTGTGACCTACCGTTTTAAATAGCTGACCGCATAGTATTTTTTTTACCCACAACCAAACCATGAATAAAGAAGTTACACACAAATTAATTACTGTCAATTACTTTTCCTGCCGGACTCTGGCATGAATAGGTGGAGTGATCTGTGTCCTTATAATGGCGTCCACAAACTTGGTTGGTAAAAGGGTGCACAACCAACAGTGTCTGAGGTTTCACTAAGTGTGGTTATTTTTAAACTAATAAATAAAAGAGTTGTAACGTAACAAAGCCTCATTTTCAGAAGTCATGTGACTCGCAGTTTGATGTTTGGGAAGGTGTGCTTCTGAAAATGCTCATCAATAGGGTTTCGCCATCTTCGTTAATTGACACTAGTCTCTGAAAGTCTTTGTGTGATCATTTCTTCTGCCTAAGTGTGTGTGTTACAGCCTGTATAACCATGCGTAAAATATTGTGAAACTCAGCACTCGATTATTTCAGCCTGCTGATTCCAGTGGAACAATCACGGTGAGTCGCAGAAGTAAAGCTTTCTGTTTGCTGGAGGTTGCAGGACAATATTTGTAGTCAGTCATACAATTTGAGGAAGTGTAATCAGAGTACTTTTGGATTACATTTAGATTACTTTCCTGCTAACTTTTTTGTTTGACGTCACATATTGAAGCAAGATAATTTGCTATTTTGACAGATGCAAAGATAAAGTATATGAATTGTGTAAATCAAGAGCTTCAACAGCTTCTGCTTAAAGTGCAATGATGCACGCTCACTGTAATATACCTGAATAACACTGATTAATACTACACTGCAAACATTTACTTCAGATTAGTTGCATTTAGAAAACAGCAACAATACAAAAGAACAATCTCCCTGCAATATCACTGTGAGATTACACGCTTCATCTGAGTGCACATGACAGAATCAGCATCATATAACATCTCTACACACAACCAAGAAGAATAACACATTTATAGAAGCGGCAGGCTCATTATAAACAAAATAGGAGAATCAGTGAATTAACCACCTTCCATTGTGTCAAATGTAGCCTGCTTTAAAGAGGAGTTTAATTACTAATACTTGATTTTTGTGATCCAGATTACCCACAGATCTGTGCACATGTGATGTTCAGTGTGGGATTGGGTGTGATGGTTGTTATCTGTGCGTCTATTTCCGATGCTCAGTCTGACCTCTATGGTAAACTTGTCTGAAGTGGACTATAAACACTGAGAGCTGATCAATGCATTAGTGAGAAATCGTTACGCTCTCTGCATTCGGGTGTTTTGGTAGAAACGACAGAATTTCTGATCTTTCGCAATCTGAGTGATTCCTAAACGTGCAAAACAAGATTGGATTGCACCAAATGGACTTTGAATCTGATGTGGAGTATTTACCACAGCGTTTGTCTGATCCACGACTGCAGAAAACACACGGTGAGTTGCTGGTTTCATCTCCAGCGTTTACATTAGTCTTTCTGCATGTTACACTGAAGAACTAATGCAAAGAGACGGTTTAATTGAAGATTTATTTCATCAGGAGCTGTTATCTTCTGTGATCTGAGGAGGAGAGATGGAGAAGACGGCAGTAAGTTTCCCTCATATTGTTTGTTTTTTAGAGATTTAACTGCATTTCTCATTTTCAGTTTTATTTAATCAAACTTTTTTTTTTCTCCAGATCATCTTGTCAGCTTTTCTCCCAGTTATATTGTGCTGTGATTGCAGTCATAGTGTAGACAAACCGTTCGACTGTTCTGACATCTACAAATCAGGACAAAATCTGAGTGGGATTTACTCCATCTATCCAGCCGGAGACTTTCCAGTCTGGGTTTACTGTCAGATGGTCTCAGAAGGGAAAGATGAAGACAAAGGAGGATGGACGGTACGAGTGTGACTTTAGAAACACTCAGGACTGAAAATATACTTGAGTACAATCAGTTGCCAGAATATTTGGTGCATGTAGAGGAAGAGTATGAGTTATAAACTAGGCTAAGTACACTGCAAATGAGTTCTCACTTATGAGCCTTTGTCTTGTTTGTAGTCCACATATTTAAAAATACTTAAATGAAGAAGCGTGTTTTGACAAGATATAAATATTGTCTTGACTTAAGAAATAATGAGTCAAAATTAAGCAAGTTTTTTAATATAATAAGCAAAATAATCTGACTGAGGTAATCTAAATAATGTAAAATAAAAAAAAGATGATTCTGCTTCCCCCATTGGCAGATTATTTGGCTTATTTTAATGAAAAGCGCACAGAATTATGATATATTTCTTAAATCAAGACAAGATTTTTTGCATGTCTAGGAAATGCTTCTTGATTTAAGAGTTATTTAGATATTTGATTATAAACGAGACTAAAACTCTAGGTAAGAACTCATTTGCAGTGCACTTTGAGTAGTTTAGAACAGATACTTTTACTCGCACTAAACTTGCAGCATACAAGTAAAAAAACCTTTCTAAAAGCAGTGCCAGTAAGTTAAAAAACAAAATTGTGCAACATTTCTTTTATTTGCTGTGTTACTCAAATTTACACATTTTTTAACCTTGAGAGCCTTTGATATCTGTTATTTTATATAAAGGAAACACTGAGAGATACAAAGAGAATCTGGAGTTTACTTTTAAAACCTGCTGGATCATATTTGCAAGTCAAAACAAATGGTTGAAAATAAATGCTAAATCGTCCTGTTGTTTGACGGCTAAAAGGTGAACTTTGCCCTGGATAATGCAATGAGTGTCCAGCAGGTGGCGCCATAGCCCAAACTCCTGCAGCACTGACGGAATACATTTAATTCATGTGAGAAAACATGAGATTCTGTAATGCATTTAGTGATCAGTCAAGGTCCTTTGCTGATTAACAGTCCCTCACTTGCTGAGTGTAATGATTTTTTGTCTTGGACACTTTTAATTAGGAATGTCCCAATCAGGATTTTTGCCCTCGAGTCTGAGTCATTTGATTTTGAGTATCTACCAATACTGAAACCCCATCCGATACTTCTATAACACATAAAAAAAGAATAAAGAGCAAAGAAACAGATCCAGGATGTTCCTTATTTTTTATTTAATTGACCATATTTTAAGGTTTGTTTAACAACAAACAGCACTTCTGTGAGGGAGCTTGACCAATCAAGTTATAAATAACATCAATTCTTCACTTCTGGACTGTAGTGCAAAGGTAAATTTATTTAAAAAAATCTAATATAAAAACAATAAGCACCTCAGCTTAAAATACCCAGCAGGTCAAGTTTACATATCTCAGTTTGCTAAGGCAGTGTTGACTTTATAGTAACTCCAGACCGCAGACAAACTCACACTTTCCTCTTCAAGCTGCTTCCATGTTCTACTTTGCCGGCATTTACCCAACAGCATCTCTGCAACAAAGTGATGTCATGTCGCATGTGTTCTGTATCTGTGTGAAGTCAAGAAAGAGTTATGTATATATATATATATATACATACAGTTGAAGTCATTTTCCCAATGATGTTGGACAGATTGAGGAAATGTTCACAGTATGTCTGATAATATTTGTTCTTCTGGAGAAAGTCTGATTTGTTTTATTTCTGCTAGAATAAAAGCAGTTTTTAATTGTTTAAACACCATTTTAAGCTCAATATTATTCGCCCCTTTCAGCGATATATTTCTGATAGTCTACAGAACAAACCATCATTATACAATGACTTGCCTAATTACCCTAACTTTACCCTAATTACCCTAGTGAAGCCTTTAAATGTGACTTTAAGCTGTATAGAAGTGTCTTGAAGAATATCTAGTCTAATATTATTTACTGTCATCATGACAAAGAGAAAATAAATCAGTTATTAGAGATGAGTTATTAACACTGTTATGATTAGAGATGTGTTGAGGAAATCTGCTCTCCGCTAACAGAAATTGGGGGCTAATAATTCCGACTTCAACTGTGTATATATATATATAAATTAGAGTCCTGATTGAAGGAAACGTCCGATTCCGATCCAGTCTGAAACTGCGTGATCTGGATATCCCCACTTTTAATGTTTCACACTGCACCAGTTCTAATTTTATCTGATTTATAATGTCTTGAAGACGTAGTGAGTGCAGGTTGAAGGAAAATAGCTCAGTAATAATACTGATGCTGCACCTTTAATGTTCTCAAGTAAAAGTACACATTTTTAAACTACTTAGTAAAGTGTAAACACATTATATATAAACCCATCACAGGTGATTCAGAGGAGGATGGACGGCAGTGTGAATTTCTATCGGCCGTGGAGAGACTACAAGAGAGGATTCGGGAAAGTGGAGGGAGAATACTGGCTGGGTGAGATCTGACATCCGTCTGTGTGAGTGTTTAGGTCCAGTGACTGGTTCAACACGTTCTTCGTGTGTGTGTGTGTGTGTGTGTGTGTGAACAGGGTTGGAGAACCTCTACCAGCTGACACGGCACAAGAAGTTCATGCTGAGAGTGGATCTGGAGGACTTTGAAGGAAGGAGAGGTTTCGCTCAGTACTCGTCCTTCTCTGTGGGTTGTGAATGTGAAGGATATAAACTGCAGGTTTCTGGATTCACTGATGGAGGAGCAGGTACAACACTTTCATTCACACTCATGATAACTCATTTCTGTGGAGTTGTTGTCCTCAGTGATCTTATCGTGTTCTTTCAGGTGATTGTTTATCTGGCCATAATGACCTGAAATTCTCCACCTTTGACAAAGACCAGGACACTCATGAAAAGAGCTGCGCCAAAGAGTATCTCGGGGGATTTTGGTATGGATCCTGTCATAATACAAACCCCAACGGTGTGTATTTATGGGGAGAAGATCCCACTCATTACGCCATTGGTGTCTGCTGGTCAACCTGGAAGAATTATGCAGTCAGTATGAAAACCTTCAGCATGAAGATCAAACGCGTGTCTTAGAAAAATACTGTGCATCTAAAGGAGAACGTCAGACTTTTCACCTCGGTTTGGAATATTTTAAGTTATGTGTGATGATGATGATGATGATGATGATGCTGCAGTTGGTGTCCTGCATCAGAACTTTTCTTTGATTACAGTGTTTCCTCACACAGTGAATGCAGACACTGAGATTTACAGGATTCTGTCCTGACGTCTGAAAAAATGTTCAGCTTCAGTTCAGTCATGTTGTGCCTACAATGAAAACACAATACTGTATCTATGCTACAAACGCAGATATTTGAAGACTGTAAGCTGGTGAAGTGTGCTGTGGTTTCCACAAGGAGGCGCCATACACACGGTGTCCTGGTGTTAAATGTGTGTTCTGTAGACAGCGGAGAAGCCAAAGCTGAGAGACAGTTTGCTACTTGGGACTTTTCTAGAGCCTTTGTGTGGGATGCTTTTGAGCCTCCCTGTCATTTGTCATCGCTTACATAAACTATTCATAATAAATAAATAAATGGATTTTTCATAATGTACTATAAAGACAAGTCGAGCTCTCTTGTCATTCACTATGTGTGGACATACAGTGCAATGAAATACATGTCTCGCAGGACCATGGTGTGACATAATTAAACATAATCATAAATATATGCACGTATCATGTCTGAGACCCCCAACAAACTGCTTGTGAAAGAGTTGAATTGACTTTCTCTTCATGAGGTTCCTTGAACAGCAGTGAGAGTGTAAAACAATCAGAATCCAGTGCATTAAATGAGCATAAGTGTTCAGTCAGTTGATCAAGCCTAAAACGAGATGGAAAGATGTTTAACTGTGTCTTGAGGAGCCGCGAGCGAACACTGAAAACTCAGAAAATACTGTGGTAAAGTAAATGATCATATTGAAGACAACTGGTGAGGCACTATGCACCTTAATGCAGTGATTCTTGTCTGGCTTGAGATCTACTTTATACTGTGGCTTAACCAGGACTCGAAGATCTTAAATACGGCGAGTTTACAATGTCAAGACAGTACACCAGAAGCATCAGCGGGGTCTTAGCGCAAATTAAAAGTCTGTGTGCATATAACTCATTGCTGTTTGTGTTTGTGCCACTCATAAACTGATCTCTGATCATTCATATCACTAACCGCCAGCTTTCAAATGCGCTAAAATGAAGGAGTTGATGATAGAAGTGTGTGTGTTTACAATCTTTATTTTCATTTTCCTGTTCTTTAGATGAACAATTAATCTGTGCAAGTTATTCCACTAAATAGCTGTCTGGTTAATCTTCAGTCTGAGCATCTGCGTTTGTATTGGCTCATCCTCTGTTGACGTCTGTTTGACATTTGACATTTGACTGTTTGTCTATTTGACAGCCACAATATTCATAGCCACGCCTCTCTTACCATTAGTTGGCCATGAGGGAATGATGTGCAAAAAGAAAGCCCCTCCCCCTGCTCAATATATTCAATATAGTTTGAAAATAAATTCCTGCAGTAGTGTCTGGATGCAGCCCTGATAATGCAAGCTGAGAAATCTGAGAGATGCAATGTCAGACACAATGCACTCAGTGAAGCGAGTGATGTCACTCTGAGGGGCGGAGTTAAGAGTGCGCATTAAAAAGCATTGCACGCTGCTCAGATTGCAACTGCACCAGGTCTACATCCAGACACATCCTCTGGGTTTTTGAGGATTCCCCTAAAAAGGTTTTGACACAGAGCACGAGACTCAGCATCAGCTATTTAAAGGAGCGTTTGAGTTATTTCCAGCTGAACACACACGGTGAGTGACTTATTCTGTAGAGCGAGATTATACGAAGAAATAACCTGCAACAATAAGAAGGTGTGAGTGAAGCTCTTTTACATCTCTTGTAGATAAACTGAGCTGTTGAGGAGAGAGTGAGAAGATGGCAGTAAGTTCTGTGGCTGTTTTATTCCTTGTGACGATCACATTTACACACGCCATTTTGTCTCGTATTGGTGATTTCTTTCTTCATGACTTTAGATCGTGCTGTTCTTGGCGACGCTTCTCTCTGCTGCTTTGGCCAGTGACTGTACATCCATGCCCTTCGACTGTTCTGACATCTACAAATCAGGAGAAACTCTCAGTGGGGTTTACACCATCTATCCAGCCGGGGAAACTCCAGTCTGGGTTTACTGTCAGATGCTCTCAGATGGGAAAGATGAAGAGAACGGAGGATGGACGGTACGAGTGTGACTTTAGATAATCAAACACTCAGGGGGTTGAGGAGTGGATCTTGTTCATTGAAAGAAAATTGTAAAGATGCTACGACCACTCACATGTAAAATCAAAATCAATAAAAAACTTAATCACAAAAAAAGAACACACACGATGAATAACACATTATATATAAACCCATTACAGGTGATTCAGAGGAGGATGGACGGCAGTGTGAATTTCTATCGGCCGTGGAGAGACTACAAGAGAGGATTCGGGAATGTGGAGGGAGAATACTGGCTGGGTGAGATCTGACATCCGTCTGTGAGTGTTCATGTCCAGGGTTTGGTTCAACATGTTCTTTGTGTGTGTGTTTGTGTGTGTGTGTGTGTGTGTTTGTGTGTGTGAACAGGACTAGAGAACCTCTACCAGCTGACACGACACAAGAAGTTCATGCTGAGAGTGGATCTGGAGGACTTTGAAGGAAGGAGAGGTTTCGCTCAGTACTCGTCCTTCTCTGTGGGTTGTGAATGTGAAGGATATAAACTGCAGGTGTCTGGATTCACTGATGGAGGAGCAGGTACAACACTTTCATTATTTAAAACTCATTTCTGTTGAGATGTTGTCCTCAGTGATCTTCTTCTCTCAGGCGACTCTTTATCTCCCCATAATGGAATGAAGTTCTCCACCTTTGACAAAGACCAAGACACATATGAAAAGAACTGTGCTAAAGAGTTTCTCGGGGGATTTTGGTACTCATCCTGTCACAATACGAACCCCAACGCTGTGTATTTATGGGAAGAAGATGTAACTCATCATGCCATTGGTGTGTCTTGGTACAGCTGGAAAGGGACTCACGCTGTCAGTATGAAAACCATCAGCATGAAGATCAAACAAGTGCCTTAGAAACATGATAGAGCTTTTGAAAGGGAAACATCTTCAGGCGTATCTGAAATGTCATGTCTTTGAAATGTATAACTGTTGGTGTAATGATGTGATTTTTCACTCAAAGCTTCAATAAACTCCTGTAGTAAATGCAGACTTGTGCAAATTTAAGAGATTCTGTCTTGCCGTTCTTTAAAACAATATAAACGTCTCCAGCATCCGGCAGATATACTCCTTGTGGAACATCAGAAAAGTCTCTAGAATAACTAAGACCTCATAACAATGGTTCATGAATAGGCAGTGTTCACCATGATGCACAGATGAGTGGTGATGCTGGAAATGTCAAAAATCAACATCAAAAGTACATAACACCTTAAAAATCAACAACAAACATACATAACACCTTTGCTAATTGCATGGCATAATTTGTGCACAGTACAAGAATTGTTAATGAGTACTGCACTTTTCTGACAGTGTTTTCTCAAAGATAACACCAAACCAGAAAGGAAGAGCTTGTAAAGATGGTTGTTGCTCAAAGGCATACAGCTCCCACTGAGAGTTAATGAGAATTAATATTTACCCATCATATTGTTTTATTAACATCTACCCTAAATCTAACCCTCACAGTAAATTAAATACAGTAATTATTATACTGTGTCACAAAATGCTGAAGCATCTGAAGCTTAGACTTTACTATTAAACGCAAACAGATGGGCTATTAACTAAATAACTTTAAGGGTTATTATTTAACTGACTTTTCGGACTGAAAAGAGGTTAATGCTGGCACAAACAAAACAGATGATTAAACTGAGCAGAAAGTCCAGAACTGTGTTTGCTGGACAGGAGTGAGCAGTTCTGTCCAGTGGTTGTGCATTACTATTGTGGACTCTACAGTGTTGCGTTCTTCTCATGTACTCTGTTGACTTTTTCAGTGAGAGTTTCAGTGTCTAATTTTGGGGATATTTTACCTGTATATCTGACTTAAGCATTGTTTTTCAGATAAACAAGTAAACTTGGCTTGTTTTTTTAAATATCTGCAAACATATGATGGTATTTTTAATAGAGTCAAAAACATACAGCTCCTTTAATGATTTCATACGAAACACTATTAGTGTTTATGGAGAGAGATTATCAGTTTATGAGCAGATGAGCTGAATTCCTTATTTACTTTTTCAGATGTCCACTGTGGAGACGAACACATGCACACTGACACAGAAATGCCTTTCATTGCTGGAGTTTATTGACGATTATTATTGATTCATTTCAGATTTAGTGAGTTTAAAGTGACCCAAAATAGAAGAAAACAATGATTGATTTACTACACAGTTTACTACGTTTCATCACTGACAGAGAAAGGGAAACCCTTGAACCTTGATGTCATCGTTGTGTTGTTAGTTTCTTCAAACATCTAAGGCACATGCTTTATCTTCATGGTGATGGATTTCATACCAATCCCATAATTGTTCTTCCAGCCGTACCAAACGTTTCCAATGGCAAAAATGGTGGCATCTTCTCCCCACAAGTACACACCATTGGGGTTTGCATGGTGACAGTTATCGTACCAAAAGGCCCCAAGATAAAGTCTGGCGCAGCTCTTGTCAAAGTTGTCTTGGTCCTTGTCAAAGGTGCTGAACTTCATTCCATTGTGGTAGGTCATTGAGTCGCCTGCAGAGAAGAAGAACATCATTGAGGACAGGGGCATAGCAACCAGGGGGGAGAGTGGGATATATGTCCCCTTACACTGCAAAAAATGCTTTTCTTGTTTAGATTTTTTGTCTTGTTAGTCTAAATATCTAAAATTTATTATATCAAGTAGCATTTTTTAGACAAGCAAAACATATTGCCTTGTTTTGAGAAATAATATGCCAATAATAAGTGAGTTTTTCCTTAAAACAAGCAAAATAATCTGCCAATGGGGTGAGCAAAATAATCTTGTTTTTTCTTTTGACGTAAGATTATTTTGCTCACCCCATTGGCAGATTATTTTGCTTGTTTTAAGGAAAAACTGACTTATTATTGGCACATTATTTCTCAAAACAAGACAATATGTTTTGCTTGTTTAGAAAATTCTTCTTGATTTAGGCATTTTTAGATATTTGGACTAGAAACAGGACAAAAGTAAGAAAATCTTTTTTTGCAGTGTACTTTTAGAGACAGACCATTTACATAACAGGTGATTAATGCTCAAATGTAAAAATTAGGATCTCATTCAGCTGTCCTCCCCACTTTCAAAATGTCCGCTACGCCCCTGATTGAGGACATCATGTGTATGTTTACTCAACTGTGAATGAAATGGGAATGAAAGTGTTGTACCTGCTCCTCCATCAGTGAATCCAGAAACCTGGAGCTGATATCCATCAGTTTCACAACCCACAGAGAAGGACGAGTACTGAGCGAAACCTTTCCTTCCTTCAAAGTCCTCCAGATCCACTCTCAGCATGTGATCCTTGTGGCGTGTCAGCTGGTAGAGGTTCTCCAGCCCTGTTCACACACACACACACACACACACGTGAAGAACATTTTAAATCAAACATTGGACATTGACAGCCGAACAAACTCACCCAGCCAGTATTCTCCCTCCAAATTCCCGAATCCTCTCTTGTAGTCTCTCCACGGCCGATAGAAATTCACACTGCCGTCCATCCTCCTCTGAATCACCTGTGATGGGTTTATATATAATGTGTTATTCATTGTGTGTATTCAGATGAGTGTTTGATTAATAGTCACACTCGTACCGTCCATCCTCCGTTCTCTTCATCTTTCCCATCTGAAACCATCTGACAGTAAACCCAGACTGGAGCATCCCCGGCTGGATGAATGGTGTAAACCCCACTGAGAGTTTCTCCTGCTTTATTAAGCTCAGAACAGTCGACAGGCGAGTCTTCATCCTCACTGCATCCGTTCACCAGAACAATCGAGAGAAGAGCCACCAAAAACACCATCGACTACACAGGAGAGGAATAGATGAGCGCCATGGAAGATGCAGAAAACAGCAATATAGAGTTCACTGATGAACTTACTGTCATCATCATCTCTGCTCAGTTGATCACAGCTGAACTCAGTATTATCTGGATGAAAACACCAAAACTGTTCACATAATCTGCTTTGACATTATTTCCTTAAACATTGTGCAAGTAGCAGTAACTCACCGTTTGTGCTGTTCAATCAAACTAACACACTCTTTATATCTGCCAGAAACTCTGGCTCCTCCTGTTACTGTACATGTTTGCTTTAGACAGACACATTTTGTATGCAAATTACAATCTGTTATGCTTTAGGCATGTTGAATATGCAGCGACAGTCTGATTGTGCACAGATGCACTTTCCATATTTAGGCTCAATTGTCAATTCAAATTTAGCATTGATGTGGGATTTCATCAATGTTCCCTGTGTTGTTTGATTGCTTTAAGTACATTGCTTGCACTTATTGTCATCTCATTGTTGTTATTCTCAAATGGAAGTTTTGCCTTTTTTTTTTTGGATTAGTGTTGCTGAAACTTTAACCAGCAACAAATTGCCTTTAAATACCAAACCATGGATCTAATTGAAATGTCACACCCTGTGTTTGTAATTGCCATCATAATATTGTAGGTGTTTGTTTAAGTTAGAGAGAAAAATCATGGCAAAAGAATCCAGCTGTAATTAGGAAAGGCTGACTCTTTATTAGTGGAAAAACCATATACGGTAACTTCATTGACATTGATCACAATAGTCTACAGAACAAACCACTGTTATACAATGACTTTCCTAATTACCCTAACTTTACCCTAATTACCCTAGTGAAGTCTTTATAGTAATTAGAGATGAGTTATTAACACTATTATGATTAGAAATGATCTGGAGAAATCTGCTCTCCGTTAAACAGAAATTGGGCAAAAAATAAACAAGCAGCCTAATAATTCAGGGGGGCTAATAATTCTGACTTCAACTGTATATGCTTTATGTCATAAAAGTTGTCTTATAATATCACCCAGTAACACTGCAGGATTTTCCCAATGAGGATTTCTGTGAGTGTCTTAGGGTCTAAAGGGTTAATGCAGGGATTCTCAACCGGTGGGCCTCAGCAATACTGCAGGTGGTGCTCGAGACTTCAAATTAACTCTCAATATTATAGTATGATTTTTAGATTTCATTATTAATAGGCTATATTAAAATGATCAAAGTAATGCACTTTCTCCTGCTCTCTAATTTTCTACTTCATACTCGGAGCAAATATCGCCTCATGATCATGTCGGCAACTAGGCTAGTAAACGCAAGTCAGTTCATTCACAAACTACTGTATGCGTGGACTGAAAGTGAAGGTCTCTCTTTGTGTATTTTGGTGTGAAATATATCCACATAGTTGGCCAAATTAATGTACTATGAGTGTTTTATAACAGACTCGTGCCCAAACAGGAGGATCTAGCAAGGCTCAATGGTGTTTCTGTCATGAATGTAAAATAAACCTGCATATGAGCTTCAGATGCGCTCTGCGCACTGCAGTCAGCGATCTCCCAATAATATCCAGCTGCAAACTCAACCACCATCAGATCCACACACTTCAACAGATTTACGGTGTTTTCCTGTATTTTACTTTCGTCTGTATATTCATGAATAGTACATATTCAGTCAGTCCAGTTTAATGTAGAAGCTGGTCTTTTGTAATCTCCCTGTTGACCTGTGGTGCTCTTTGAATCTGTGTATGTTTTTTTATATTTATATAGTTATATAAACTATATATTATTATATAATATATAATATCTTTTATATAGTTTTAGTTTTACATGCAATTAAATTTAAATAAAATTCGACATTTTCTTTTAGAAGAAAATATATATAAATGAGCATTTCTTACAAACACTTTAGAGAAAATGTCTGGTGGGCCTTCAAAAATGACCAGAGAAGAAGTGGGCTCTGAAGTGAAAAAGGTTGGGTTAATGGACAGAATGCCGTCTTTCAAAAAAACAACAATATATTGGACTACGTTTCTGCATTTATGTAAAGATATTATTTGTATACATTAGAGCTGATATTTTAATTAAATTAAATTCTTATTAAAAACTTTATGAAAAAGTCATTAAAATAAAATGATTAAAAACTTGTCCTAAACAGAATCACTGTAATACAGCCAGTCGAACACAATGCAATTTTGTAAAATGTACAAAACAAATCCATTGAAATTAAATTTATTAAGTCATACTTTACATCCAAGCCATTTGTAATCTTTAAAAACACACAGGACTGCTGAGAGGATATACAAGCGCTTATTATTCCCCTTACAGCACATCCTGGACAAACACAGACTTATCTTACAATCAGTAATCAAACAAAACGGTTTAAATGTTTTGATCAAATGTTTAATTGTGATGTTTGTCTCATCCTGAATGATCAGGTGATTGCTATCCATTATTCTCAGAAACTTTTTCAGTTTCTTCAAGTCTATTGGATCAAGAGTACATTTACATATGCTTTAAACAAATTTAAAACAAGAAGAGACTAAAGAGCTACCCAAAAATGATTCACTTTAAACCAATCCAACCAAAAAACAAGGTGGTTTATCAAGCCCACTCACCTGTGTGAAGCACACTTCATAAATGCAGAGTTCATTTTTTTAAGAGCATGTCTGGTGCAGGGTGATGCAGTAAGTAGTGCTGTTCAGGGTAGTTCAAGCCTCAGCTGGGTCAGTTGGTGTTTCTGTGTGGAGTTTGCATGTTCTCCTCGTGTTGGTGTGGGTTTTCTCCGGTTTCCCCCACAGTCCAAACACATGCGCTATAAGGGAATGCTGCATAAAACATATGCTAGTTAAGTTGGTGGTTCCATTAATAAATGGATTAAGCTGAAAAGAAAATTATTGAATGTCTGGTGGAAATGTGCAAGTGTTAGTTTAAGTGTTACAGAGATGTTATTTTTACCGATGGTTTGTAAAGCTCACTCACCTGTGCGAGGCACACTTAGTCTGGGGTTGTCATGTGGTGAGGTGGGGAGAGGTGAGGGTGTCCTGGTTTTATTTACTGTGTTCAGGTGCTCTCGGAAGAGATGGGGTTTTACTTGTGGTATGAAGCGTTCCAGTGAATCTGCAGTCCATGTGGGAATGGGAAGATCAGTCCACCAGCGAGGAACAGTAAATGAAAAGGTTTTGGAAAGTAAGTGTCGGAGCCCTGAATTAGAAGTATAGTAATGTATTTAGCTTATTTTATTTTATTATTTTTTGGCCTGCTTTTTGCCAGCTGTTGTGCTGCCACCTATGGGGCCATACTAATCACTGCACTGTAGGAGAGCCAATATCAGCTGAACCTAATCAGCAAGAAGCATGCCAGTGGGGAGAGACACAGTTTTCAAACGCTCAGTTGGAGGACATTGAGAAATCATTGTAAGATGTTTGTTTTGGAAGCAAGAAAACGGATCAAAATTCAAGCAATTATTCTGCGTCTAAAAACATTACCTGCTTAAATCAACAAGGAATTCGCTGTAACAAGTTTGAAAACTTTCTCGATGATGGAAAATTTGGATGGAATATTGGCTTGCTTTCCATTACAGACTGGAAGATGACAAAATATCTGTGAGTACAAAGATTTAATTACTGGCAAAATGGATGAATCACGAGACTGTTGCTTTGACAGAGAAAGACTCTTTAACAAAGCTTATTGGAGCACGTAAAGGGAAATTGGGGGCATGTACCTGCAAAATGAATGAAATAACATCAAGACAATCTGAAACTGTGATGTTAATGAAGTAAAGCGCCTTCTGACCACATTTCTTAATACTCTTGAAGAGTTTGAACAAGCTAATGATTCAGTGCAACTTTTGCAGCCGGTAGAAGAAAGAAAGGTGGAACAAGAATATTGGTTTAAGCCAAAAATTGATTGTTTTAAACGATTTATTGATGAGATAAATGTTTGGATTGCTCAAACTCTAAAGGAAGTGAGTTATAGCCTCTCTGCGATGAAACTACAATGCAATAGAGGCTCCTGGAGGGGGTGTACACCTTCAAACTGTTGATCAATTTCAGATCTTTGATGCTTGCTTACAGGACAGCCACTGGCACTGCATCCTCTTACCCCCTCCCTCTCCTAAAGGTCTACACCCCCTCCAGGAGCAGGAGGTTAGAGAGGGTGCAGTGCCAGTGGCTGTCCAGTTAGCAAGCATCAAAGATCTGAAATTGATCCAAGCCTCGACCAGTAACCAATGCAGAGGGATAAAGAGAGGAGTTACATGGGCTTTCACTGAAGAGCAGACGAGCTGCAGCGTTCTGGAGCATCTGTAGAGGAATAACGGTGCGAGATGGGAGTCCAGCCATCAAATGACAAGAGCTTGGATGTTGTACAGTATGATCTGTTTAGAAGGGTCTGATTTATCTGGTGTTGAAGAGTGCAGACCTAGATGACGGAGTTGGGTTAGCAGTGTGCTCATTAAAGGACAACTGATCATCCAGGATCACTCTAAGATTCCTGGAATCACATGGGCTATTAGTAATGACTTCAGTTGGATTGAGAAATCATGTTGAATGTGTGGAGTTGCAGGAAAGATGAGAAGTTCAGTTTTTGCCAGGTTAGACAGCAGGTGATGGTCTTTCATCCATGCTGAGATATTCTCCAGGCAGTGTGAGATCCTTGCAGCTACCGTTGGGTCATCAGGATGAAAGACAGAGCTGTGTGTCGTAGACATAACAATGATAAGAGAAACCATGTGATTGGATGATGATTCCCAGCGGTGTGGTGTAAATAGAAAATAGAAGGGGAACAAGAACAGATCCCTGAGCCAGATCACCCTGCAGCCCAAGACCGGTTACTCACTGAAGCTAAGCAGGGCTGAGCCTGGTCAGTACCTGGATGGGAGACTACTAGGGAACACTAGGTTGCTGTTGGAAGTGGTGTTAGAGAGGCCAGCAGGGGGCGCTCAACCGGTGGTCTGTGTGAGTCCTAATGCCCCAGTATAGTGAAGGGGACACTACACTGTCAGTGAGCGCCGTCTTTCGGATGAGACGTTAAACTGAGGTCCTGACTCTCTGTGGTCATTAAAAATCCCATGGCACTTCTCGTGAAAGAGCAGGGGTGTAACCCCGGTGTCCTGGCCAAAGTCCCTCTATCTGCCCTTACGATTATGGCCTCCCAATCATCCCGATCCACTGAATTGGCTCTATCACTGTCTCTCCACTCCACCAATAGCTGGTGTGTGGTGAGCGCACTGGCGCCGTTGTCCTGTGGCAGCCGTCGCATCATCCAAGTGGAGCTGCACACTGGTGGTGGTGTGGAGAGACCCCCCCTCATGATTGGGAAGCGCTTTGGGTGTATGACCATACACAATAAATGCGCTATATAAACACACATTACATTAGATCCCTGAGGTAATCCACTGGCCAGCTGATGAGCTGTGGATTGCTCTCCTCTCCAGACAACTCTGAATGAACCGCCAGTGAGGTGAG